GACACAAGACATCCCATGACAGTACTGGAGCCACAGCAGAGACTTGCCAGCTCGTGGGTGCTCATTTGTTTTCATAGGAAAAATAAGACTAAATAGAGGGCAAGAAAAGGAAAGCTAGAAAGTGTTTGGTGAGATTAAAAAGGGAACCCCAAAATGAAATTCTGCTGTCTGGTGCCAAGGGCAATAGAGCAACATTTAGAGATGAAAATAGGTGCTAATACACTCTTCATAAATGTGAGAAACCAAAAAAAGGAAAGCAACCAAGGCACCAAAAGAGGTTAAAAATGTGTGGTTTAACAAAGCATTACACTGGAGACCGCAGTTAGGTGCCTGGTTTTACCTCCAGAAGTTGAGGGGCACTCTAGAGCAAACTGCTTCCCTGCTGTCTCCTGTGAGTCTCTCAAAGCTTTAAGCTTTAATTTCCATAGTTTTAAGTCTTTCTAGCATGAAATTTGATTGTTTAAATTTTTAACAGGAGTGGTGGTCAAAACCAGTATCTATATATCATTATCTATAGATGGTGCAACCTTTTGGAGACTATTTTGTACAAAATTAAAGATGATTTTGTATTGGGATCAACTAAAACCCTTTATGTTATTAAAATGAGACTGACTGAGGTCCACAATGCTCAGTGTTATTCCCAAGAGGTATTCAAAATGCAGTGCAAAAATGGAAATAATTTTCATTACAACTTCAAAACAAAACGTTGTGTCTTTCAGATTTGCAAGATTGGTGTCTCAAAGAAAAAAATAATCCCTCAGGCAGCCTGAAAAAAAAGTGTTAAAAATGTAATTTGAATCATAGTGACTATTTGCACTTTGTTCACTGTTTATCTAGGCTGTGACTGAAGCAGAGGGCTGGTTATTGACCCTGCACAAAGCCCTGCCTGATGGAGTGTGCAGGGGAAGGTGACCATCCTTCCTCCAGCCCTCTTGTTCAGCAGCTGGGAGGGAAGTGATGCCTCTGCCAGCTCTGCCTGGACAAGGGGCTGGGGAGTGTGGGAAGCAGCTGGGATCCTGCACTGCAGTGAAGAGGAGCTGCTGCAATTCAAGTCACCCAAGTCAGCTTGAAATAAGGCAGTGCAGATAATAATTATAAAGGATCTTGGCAGCATGGAGCCTGTGGACTCTGCAGTTTGACCAGAGGGGCTGTGCTTCGTGCCAGCGCAAGACAGGCATGATCTCCCCCAGGAGAGCAACAGCCACATCACTGTATATATGTATATATATATATACACTCACACATTTTTATAAGAACAAAAGTGCTGTGCTATTGCATTCCTCCTCTGCAGCTCATGCACAGAGCAGTGAGTGAGTGTGGTGAGAGCTGAATTAAACTCCTTGTTTGAAGCAGGTCCTTGTTCAGCTGGGTCTGTAATGACAGGGATGCTTCTTGAGCTTCACTTATCAGGCACCAAAATCACTAGAGTAATCAAGGGGAGAGGAGGACAGGCATGAGCATGCACTTGTCATGAGCGCAGCGAGGTTTTGTGGCTGGGCTGGCTGTTAGCCTGGAGACACACAGCAGCATGTGGCAGATCCAAGGGCTGGGATGTAACCAAGCAAACCATGGTTAAAATGAAAAACGATTCAGACAGCTGGGCTTGAGGCTGTGGAGTGGCTGAGCAGGCAAGACCAGACCCTTATTTCCAAGTATTGTGAGGGGAAAATGCACCAGAGGCACAGGGCAAGGAGAACATGGGGTTTGGCCAGAAGCATCTGTTGGAGCATTGCTCCAAAAAGCCACACTGGGAAACAGCCTCAGACTCTCGACTTAGCCAGGTGGAGACACAAGTTTACCTCTGTTTTACAAGTTTAGGTTGCTTGTTACCATCCAAAAGCCTTCTGGCACAAATGTGCCTAACCCATGGGAGGGAGCTCCCCATCCCAGAGCCAACAGCACCACCAGTTTGGACTAGCCTTGCTGCTGGAGGGAACAGTGGGATGGAGAAGACCAAAGGGAGCCGCCACTGGCATATAGGGTAGTTAAGTACATTCATGGTGCAACATGTGCACCTGCATCCCTGCCTGAATACTCTCCTCTCTTTCACTCTTGATGACAGAAGAGCCTTAATTGGGCACAAAGAAATCCATCAAACAGCCCAGTGCAGCCAGCAGGTCCCCATAGCAGCTGCTGTGCTGCTCCATGGCTGGGGGCTGCCCCCGAATAGCCCAAATATCATCCACCTACCCCAGGCACTGCTGTAGGAGGTGAACCTGAATCTTCACTTCTGCTGCTCATGAACAGCACAAGGGCTTTACAGCTCGCAGGGGCTGAGGCTTGGTGGAGCCAAGTCCAAGCTATTTGCTGAAAACAGAGGTGATAAATTATGTTTCCAAGCTGAGGAGCTGCTCAGAGAACCAGACCGGAGGACTTAACACAGCCCACTAAAGCATGGGGAAATTTCTAGTTGTTTTTGTGCATATAAACACAGCAGGGACCAACCTGCATGGCAGTGAGGTAAAATGGGAGCTCAGCCAGTGATTTCAGTAGCTGCAGGGTCTTGCTCATGGTTTAATGCATTTTTACAACAGGGGTGAGCAGGACCCATTCTGGGAATAGAAACATCAGCAGCAATTTCATCCCTCTGAATCATTTGCTTATAACATGCCTGTGCTTTCATCCAGTGACTGATTCAAGGGCACCAGGAGAAAAACCCCTTCTCCCACCCCATTTCCACTCCCCAGCACACTCCTGTTGTGCTGCTGTGGATTCAGCTCAATAATCTCTGTAGCCACAGCGAGGACATTCTGGATGTCTCCCTGGCACAGCACTGACATCCACCCCAGAGGGGCAAAGAAGCCCAGCCTTCCCCTCTCCTTCACTGGCAAAGGAGGTTCCAGAGTCTCCCCATTAAATCCCATGGCATTTCATGGTCTTGCATCCCCTATTGACCTTCTAGCCAATGAAAATAAATACAAAATAAAAATAAAACCCCTGCACATTTATTTCATTTCCTCTATTTTTATTTAAAAAGAAGGTTTGCTAACAGCAATCAGTACCATGGTCCAGGCCCCTCAATACAGCAGTTGGCTTTAGCAGTCCCTGCAGCTCCATCCCTGCTCTGTCCCCCGTCCATGCCAGGGACAAACCAGGGAATTATCCAGCTTTAACAACCACTCCTGAATCACAGTAAACTCCTTGGGATTGCAGATTATTTCCACCTTACAGTTTTACTCTCTGTCTCCTTCTGTCTCAGCTTAAGCTGAGGTTCACAGCCAGGTTTAGTTTTATCATGCAACTAAACTCAAGCAAAAATAATACCAAAAAAAAGTGCCAGGTTTAAAAAGAAAAAGACATAAAAGAAATCATTTTCTGGTGCTGGAAAGAAACATCCCCTCAGTGGCAGATTAGCCCACATTTATCCACTATAATGTTGCTTATACCTTAATCTTAGGCATCTTCATCTGACACTAATTAGCAGGCTGGAGGCTCCTACGGGTACAGTAGCTTCTATGGACTAAAACATGAAAGTGAGCTCTTCCTTTTACCATTTGGAGCACTCAGCTTTTAAAGAGACAGTGTCAAGTATTTCAGCTCCAAACTGTACACTTTTTAACTTACAAAACACAGCAGTCAGAGGAGGCCCAAAGGTGGTGATACCCAGCCATGGCAGCATTGCAGCATGTGCCCGAGGTTTGTCTGTGCAATGCTATTTACTCTCTCACAAATTATACCTTGGCCCTCACTGAACCTCAGACTCACCTGCATTCTGGCACTGAGTGCTAATTAGGAGACAAATAGAATAGGCTACATTAAAAAGGCTCATCAGATCAATCTAGTTGCTTCCCTCAAAACCCCCCCAAAAATCAAGAGAAAAGCAAATGTGGTTATAAAAAATTCATTATGTTTCAGGTTCTCTCCAAAAAAAGAAAACGGGCTAAGATTATTTCTATGATCTTCATCACTAGGCAAGCATCCCATCAAGATCCATATGACATCCTACTTAACTGTTGAGAGTAAGAGCTAATTAGAGCTTGAAAGGACGAACAGAGCAGGACTTGAGGAATTCAGTGCCGTATGCTGGTTCTTTGAGGAGAAACTGAAAATAAATTATTAAGAATTGACGAAGTCCCTTGAAGTCCTGAAGTCTTTCTGCTTGGCTGGGTCTAGGCCTATCACCCATATTTCTGCAGTTATTTTTGGAGGGGGAGAGAAGGCAGGCTGCTTAGCAGGTAGCAGCTGGGAATTGAGAGCTGGATGTACTTATGGTTTTCATGAGCTCTGACAGATGTTGAATGTCTTTGTGGCACAGTAAGACACTTAATACTAATGGTGCCGGTTTGCTGCAGCAAACCTGCTTCCTGCCACATTCCAGCATCTCTGCTCCTTTCTACACTGCTCATTAGAAAAGGAAAAGAAATACATGTTCGGTATCCTCTTCGCTGGCTCAACACCGATGCTCTCACTCTCTGGAGGCCGCACATCTCTTCTCTGAGTGAATGTCACTGGGGTCAGCACTGCTCCCCACCACCTCCTGGAGACCAAACTGCAGCTCTGGAGGCTTCTCTCTCTCCTCTCCAAAGGCTGTGTTCAGCCTGGTGGGCCATGTTTGGATGGATCTGTGCATGACAGGCACTGGTCTCTGCTGGGTAGCAGACAGGTCCTGCTCAGCGCCGCGGGCAGTCCCTTGGCTTTGAGAGCCACCAACAAACCTTCCCTGCCCACCCCACTCCCTGCCCCTTCCCCTCCCCGCCACGAGCACGGGGCCAAGAACGCTCCTCACCGCAGAGTGCCAGCGCCGGCGTCCTTGGCCAAACAAACTAACTACCAACCTCGGACCAGTCACGACACACGGCTTACGTTTACCCATATCTAACATACCCTCAAAAACCAAGGCCACCTTCACACCTTTTGGACATAGGGCGAATGCCCTTCGAGCCCAGCAAGCCCTCAGCAAGGGGTCTTGCCCAGGCCAGTCATGCCAGATGCTCCTGCATCTCTCCTGCCCCTTCCTTGGTGAACACCAAACAGTTATAATACTCAGGTCAATATATATAGGTACCACGTATATATATTTGTGTCGCTGTTCTGCACGTTAACAAAGACAACCAACCCCACCAGGCACCACTTGTCCTTTCTGCCCCTTCCCCTTCCTCCTGTGGCTGTGCAGGAACGCAGCTGGGGACCACCCTACGTGGCCCCATCGCACTCCCCCACAGTCAGCTTCAAGGCTCCTTGCTGGTGCAGCGTCTTTAAGGCTTTGAACTCCAAGGGCATGGTGTGTGGGCTGGCCTGTGAGGTGTAGCCATACTTCAGGCTGTCATAGTAGTGGTACTTGACCGGGTTCTGGTTCTGGTCCAGAGGAAAGGGCCAGAAGCCATAGAGATAGATCTGGTTGCAGAAACGAGTGGCTAAGGTGTACATGAGGAGGCCAGTGGTGGGTCGCTTGATGTGCACCTTGTTGGTTAGCCAGTACCTGCAAAGGGAGAGTGAAGTCAGTTATTCACCCCATACACCAAGCTCATGTCTTGCACATTTCCTCCCTCCAGCCTCTGACTGAGATACATTGGGGATTCAAAGTGAGAGATTTCTGACTAGCAGAAGAGTTCTCCATGCCAAGAAAAAGCCTCTCTAGGGACTGCATCCTCCTGTTCTCTGTCTGCTGGTTACATCACTTGTTGCCATGGCACTGAAGCATCTCATGCCTTGGCAATCCTTCATGAAAAACAAATTGCTTGCAATAGTGGCCTTCAGTGCTTCAGTCTACAATTATCTTCCAATCAACCCAGGAGATCAATACCACAGACCAAACCATTCACATGTCAAGTAGACGCCAGCAACCCCTCGAAGCAGACACACTCACACACACTGCTGATTTTCACTGATGGATGAAGATTTTTACTCTGACAGTAAACACAACAGGGCTGTAAAAACGTTTGCCTTGGAACAAAGGGTCACCAGGCTGAAAGAGCTAAAACACACTGCTGCATTCCCATTACACCCAGCGACTGCTGCTGCGATCCTGGACCAAGATACATCCTCACACTCTGCTGCATCAGTCCATCAGACACACAGCGTGGCATATTGCAATATGTATTGTGCAATATGGAGGTCAGCTCTGCTCGCTGCTGGCAAACATGCTAGTTTTTATGAGGGATGGCAAAAAGAACAGGGGAAGGATGTAGTGATGCAGGAGCAGAAATGGTATCAGCGGTTGTATTTTGGGCTGCCGGTAAAAGTTATTGCAGTATCAACATCCTGTAAGGCAATATTTCCAGCACCCAGTATTTATTGCACAGGCAACTTATCTTGTTTGCTCAGCAGAAAAAAAAATACTGTCAGAGGAGCAAAATCAGAAAGCAAAAAGTTTAGGGGGGTTGAAGATGTCCCCACTGGGTGCACTGCCCCCTCCCCCAGTACATCTGACGCCGGTGCTGCCAGGTCTGCACCCCCGATGGTGCAGGCAGTGCATCCTGCCATGCTGCAGCCCATTCGAGCCCTTGGATTATTTTGAATAGGTATTTCAAAAGGTTTGAGCTCAGGTGAGTGACTGGCAGCACCTTGGAGAAAAGGCATGAGGAAGCAGAGCAGAGCAGAGCACAAGGCATTTCTGTGCTCTCACCCAGAGGTTTGGGATCCTGCACCACAGGAAACCTCTTGCTCCTCATTCACACTTTCTGACAGGCTCCAGAGGGTCTGGTGCTCAGACAGCAGGAACCCTTGGGAGAGCTGAGCCTTAATCCTGCAAATTAGCTTTTCACAAAAGCCATTAAAATTTAGCAACTAAGGCACAAAACGTGCTTGCTTGTTCTCAGCCAGATAAGAGAAAAATTGACTTTTCTGGGGAATCAAATTCAGGAAGCAGAGTGGCTGTCTTGGCATGGTACAGGAAGGGCACGGGAAGGTTTTTCAGGGTCCCACACCCAGGAGTGTCCAAGCATCTACAGCTTTAGCAAAGGATGAGTACAACAGTTTGGGAAGGAGGTCCCTGCCTGACTCATCTTGGCATCCAGCATGAAAAATGAGCAAGAAATGGGGGGAAAACCAGTATCTCAGCATCACAGCATCAGCATTTTCTGGGCTTGCCTGGCCATACAGGTTGCACTGTGAGGACACAGCACAGCTTGCTGTGGTGTCAAGACAATCTGCTCCCACAGGTAGCCATAAACCAGCCTCCTCGATGAGTTTATGGGTAAGCACATTAGACCCCCTGTGCGCAGAGGGAAATGGGAGATTATCACAACCATTTATCACTGTGAATTAGGGTATCCTCTTGCAGCAGGGAAACAACCTGGGAAGAACTGTCAAGCCATATTAACCAGCTAGCTTTGGGGGAAGACAACTGTCTGGGTTTGTCCTGCAACTGCTTTAGCCTTAAAACTCTCCTTTTAGCAATTTTCCAGCTGGAGCACACAGAAAGATACTGGTGACCTTATGCCTGCCCAAAATATTAACTTTCCTGTTTCGTTGAGAGGCTGCAAAAAGTCTATTAACGTACAAGGACCCTGACAGCACAGCAAAGTGACCCTTGCACACAGGCAGAGGACATTCTTGTGGCCACCAATGTTTCACACATATTAATGTGCCAAAAATGACCTGAGTCAAACACAGAAGCCTAAAGAGGCACATTGTTCTCTGTAACACAGCACACACAAAAACCTGACCAAGACCAACAAGTGTGCACAATCAGCAACCAAAAGCAACCCTACAAAACCAACCCAGTGTATCCTCCTCAGCACATGCAGCTAGTGAGCACTTAGTAATACTGGGGCAGGGAACAGTGACAACTCACTATTTCACTATAAAAACTAAAACCTGGCTCTTTTGTCTGTATTTCCTTCTACTGCAGACAGGGTGTTGCAAAAATGAGCATTCAAACGTCACTCCTACAGCACCAAAAATCCTCACCCCAGCTTTGGGAGAGGTGAGGGACTCCAGGCTGTCCCAGCCCACCCCCACGGATGACATACACAACACATAATGCCCAAACCATAACACAGGTCATGACCACAGCACCTGCAATTTGTTTTCTGATCACAGAAGGTGGGAAATCCTCTGGTGAGGTCTGGGAAATATTTTTTTAATGACTGACTTGTGGTGGGAGTGTGGGAGCAATGCAAGAATATCTCCCTCTTATCTTTCCCACCACTGTCCAAGTGAGACAGTGGCCACATTCCTGGTGCAGGAGAGAACAGCTGGGGATGGAAATAAAACCTAATTAATTCTGTAAATCCAAATGAGGTTGTCTGGGCGCACATGGGATGCTGTGTCAACAGCACACCTTTAATATGTGAGGTCCAGGATTTTAATTAGGAGGAAAGATAATCTTGAAGCAGGCAGTAATTATTTTTCAAATTGGCTACACCAATCACCATAACTATTAACTGCAACATTTTATGGAAAGAGACAGCAATTAAAAGAGAAGAGCAAAGAGCAGTCCTGAAACCCAATACCTCCATTCTCAGAGCCATTCTCACCGGGTGGACCTTCTTCAGAGGCTGGTGCTGTGTCTGTAAACAAACCCTCAGGGGTGGAAGCAGCTACAGAGATAGGCGAGTGCCTGAGTGGGATGCAGCTATGAACAGGAACTGTGATGCTGTCAGGGAAAAATTGCCCCAGACAGCTCTTGTTTCAGATCATGATAGTGACAGATGGAAAATGCCAACAGATCTTCAAGGCCATCTTTGTAAGGAGGCAGCCTAGACATAAGCCCTAGCACCTACTTGAACTAAGACTTGATGGAGGCCAAGGACAGAGGCTTTAGGAAGAGCAGCTCAGAGAGTCTTGTCCTAGCTGCTATGTGGTTCTGGTTGCTCCTCATCTCCTAATCATCAGTTAGAGATGATTTAGAAGTCTCCTAAGCAGAACTGCTGCTGGCTGCCTGACCAGTGGGGTATGCCTCCTCTAAGAGGGTCACTCTGCAGCCACATGGGAAGTGACTGCTGTATTTGGACCTTAAAGCCCAGTGGGAATCCTTCAGGAGACAAAATGCTCTGAAACTGTTCCTAGGAAGCCACAGCTGCCACTCAAGACAGGGAAGGTGGCAGTCTCCTCATTACACACCTAGAGCACACACCTCACCACAGCACTCATCCTTCCCCAGCATCACTGACTTTAGGGAGCAGAGCCTGGCCTTGATTTGGGCTGAAACGCTAGGTGCAAAACTCCTCCATGCAGGCAGCATTGGAGGACCACTAGTGAGGGCAGATCCTGGTCTGTGCTTACCTGTCATCTCCTGATATGCCTGAGAAAACCCTAAAATAACCTGTACCCTCCAGGTAAGGGTTAACTGACAGGATAAAGTGAACAGAAAATCCATTGCCCTAGTGAAATGAATAAAATACTCAGGTCAATGAGGAAATCAAATTTCAGCAGTATCGGCTGCATTATTTAGTGATACAGATCAGAATAGCTGAAATAATGCAATTTCAGACCCTTTTAAAACAGCTTATTCATAAAAGTGTGATCTAAACACAAGCTGTTGTGGAGGTGCTAGTCCTTGACTGGCAGAAGTGTATTATCAGTCTGCCACACACATCCTGGTCCCAGTAATACTCAGGAAAAACAGCCACAGATAATCAAAGCCTTGACTGCACTCCACACCCACATTGGTGCAGGTGAGGACAGGACCTGCTGGTGCTGGCAGATGCAGGGTGGATGGATGAGAAGTGCTGGAGCCCAGGGAGCAATTGCTATCCCCCATCCAGCTTCTCCCAGCCCTTTGCTGTCCGTGTATCAGTCACCAAAGTAGACAAGAGCCAGTGAAGAGGTCTGTGCTGGACAGGCAGGACTGGACACATCCCTGTGACTCCAAAAGGTTGATTTGGAGTCAAGAGTTGGGCTTTATGCCCAGGCTGGGCAAAGCCCAAGCACCAAACCCAGCCTCCTTTCCCAGCCTGGATCAGTACCGTGTGGCCTAGCTCTGGCTTTGCTGACTTGGCACAAGCAAATCAATGCTGAGTCATGGATAAATGATTCGCTTCTCTTCCAGGTCTTGAGCTCTGCAATGCCCTTTCAAACACATATGGTACTCAACATCCACAAGTTAAAGCACTTGCAAGCAGACAAAAGAGGTCGAAAGTACCTGGGAAGAGAATTACCTATTTATTTCCCCTTTCCTACCTAGGCACCATCCCTTCTTTTGACAAAGACTAAAACTTCTTCCCAAGTAACTGGAACAAGTTAACTGCCTTAAAGTCCCAGTGCAGACAGACCACAGCTCAGGTACAACATGCCTCAAGTGCAGAAGAGGCAAGAACAATTGCTCACACAAGGATTTATTTATGGGATATCCACTGATCTAACCCACATGTGGCTTTATGGGGTGTTCGTAGTCCCTCACATCCCATCCCAGTCACACACTTGTGAATGGCTGTTTTCTCCCTCTACACCCTTTGCTCATCTTCTTCCCTCGCCTGACAGCAGGACCACTGTCCTTAAACCATCTGTGGGACCAGAGAAGAAGGGCTTTAAAGTATGAGACCCCAGGGCATGTATTTCAGAGAAGCCCCTGTAAGCATGAAGTACAATAAGGGAGGAAGCATGAAGTGGCTGTTTTATCCACAAGAAAACCCACAAGTAGGTGACACTGATGGACACTGGGAACAGGGTGAGAAAAGCTGAGCCAGGAGGGCTGTGAAGAGGATCAACAGCTTAGGTCTGATGTGTTAGAGAAAATGAGAGGCCATGGAGGGATGCAAACGAATGCAATCAAAGCAACAGGTCAGGAGAATCATCTGCACATGTGTGCCCTGTGTAGCTATAAGTGAGACAAAGGATGTTGGAAAGGATGTGGCATAACCATGACACGAGGTGAGAAGCAACCAAGGGAGGGTTTCCACCATGGCTGACAGATGGGAAAGGCATTTTGTCCTGAAAACTCAGTGAAGGCTTAGACACTGTTTGGGTGTGAGGATCCAGGCAGATATTCAAGGTAAAGATGAATCCACCTTATGCCCTGCCAGGTTGTACTTCTGAGGACACGTGGCAGAGCAGCACTATGGACCCTGAGCAAGGCAATCACTGTCCTGAAGAGCACATGCAAACTGTCACAGCTATTTGGATGTTAAACCTAACGGGAGACCAAGCCAAGGAGCTGGAAGGGTTATTGATTTTTAATTTTTTTTTCTTTCAAGAAGCCCTTAACAAAACCTTATGGGATTAGAATTGGTTACTGCCAAGAGACCCTCATGATGGACACAGTGAGAAACGTTAGACCAGATTAGACAAGGCAAACTGAGACGTGTCCATGAATTCTCCGCAAGGAGTGACAGACAAACCTCCAGACACAATTATTTCCCCCTGCTTCCTGCATTTCATGTTATTTCTCTAACAAAAGCTGCTTGGCAATAGGGATTACAAGGCTTTTTGGAGACGCTAAGAGATGACTTATAAGGGGCTTGCTTGCTTGCCAGCCAAGGCGATGAGCACTGCGCTCGCCAGATGAATTGCTCAGGAGACATTTTATAGCATCACTGTGAAGTGAGGCACACACCCCTGAAATGCATGGCCCTGTCCCTACCAGCTGGCTCCCTGCCACTGCACAGCATCCCTCTTCAGCCTGAGGTGTGACTCGGCTTCCTTCTGAGCTCCTCCATAGAGATGCTGAAGGCTCACTCCCCTCCTGGAGTGCAGGTGGTGAGTTGAACCATGTAAGAAGAGTCTCTGTCCTATTGCACCAATTATCTGGAATCATCAACACAAAAAGCTATCAGCAAACATTTAAGGCACTCTCACAGCTAGAAAGGTGATGTCTCAAATGATGCTGTTAAGGACAACAAAACCAAATGCTTTTTACTTATCTCGGCAACGCACACACTACAAATGCCCCAAATGCACTGAAAATTATAGGAAAAACGCTCAATTGCCACCGAAATGCATTTTGGTTTGAGGGAAAGCAGAGGAGGACAATAAATATTGTGGTTCAAGGAGGAGTCAAGGACTCACAAATGTATTTCGCTGGTAGTGAAGGAAGAAAAGGCAAAGCTTTTGTAGCCAAATTGAAGTTGGCTGAGATGTCAGCCTTTATAGAAAGTGCTATTCCTTGAAAAAAACCCCAAACCATATAAAAGAGTGTCTTGGCTGAAAGACTTCCCCCATTTATTTGTGATTTCCAGTCAACTCAGGATAGATTATAAAGGGTAGCTTTATCCAGCAAAGGAGAAGATGGGACATCTCTGCAATCACTGCCCACTGCAGCACAGAGGGATGTGCTGAGGGGCTTTGTGGATTATTGATTCTCTGCTGCATGCCACATACCACATGCCACAGGATGTATTTGTTTCACAAATCTCAGTTCTGTCAAAGAAAAGTATAGTGCTATGAACCAGCACGTTGTGTGGAGAGAGCTGGAGAGACAGGGGAATTCGTTGGAGAGCACAGCCCTCATAAGCAAAAATATAGGATGATTATAGGAATTAGACAGTGTCACAGATGATTAAGTAAACTCCTAGCAATTCTGGTCAGTTTGACCTGAGGAAAAACTCCTTCCTCACCCCAAACCAGATTGTAACAATTACCTTGAGCAGATGGTCAAGACAACCCTATTGGTACCTGAGAGACTTCCTATATAGCACCAGGAGCAGCAGCCACCTCCCTCAGCTGTGGCCAGGTCATTCAATACTGCCTGAACCACTCTTAAATCCATCCAAGTCCAAACCTGAGGACACTGCACCAAGGAAAGGGTTAACACTGACTCCAGCCTTCCCCCAGAGCCGAACAGCCCTTCACCCCCCAGCCCTGAGTTCTCCCACTGTGGGGTCCTTGGCCAGGCCACAACACCCTGGGTAGGCATTGAAGTGCTCCCATCAGTTCTGGCTTTCTGAGTGGGCTGCAATTTTCATTATATTAATTACTAATCAGTAGGCATCCTTGTTTTCCTGCTG